CTACCCCCTCTCCTTCTCGCAGTGGCTTAGAAAGAAAACTCTGGAGAAGGGGGAGTTAAGGGAGTTTAGGAAGATGGTAGGTAGAACGGGAAGTGAGGTCGTACCAGAGAGGGAAACTCGGAGGGGAGAGGTGCCTTTTGCAAACTTGTTCTCCATCGGTATCACGTACCCTCTCCGCAGCGCACTAGTTTACCCCTCCCTGCCTACCTCACCTCAGTCGTGGAAGTTCCTCACACTCGTGATGAATTCGGGTAAGGTTGGACAAGTTGAGCTTCAGGAGCAGACTAAGTCTTCAGAACGACTGCTGTGAATAGTGCCTCTACATCTTCGCTGCGGAACAAAGCCTGCAGGGGGAGAGTAGGTCGATCAAAGTCCTATTTACCACCTCCCATTTCTTGGTAGGTGGTGTTGCAGTTCAACTATTTCTGATAGATGATCGGATATCTGTCTCCACTGCTCTTCCTCACTTTCCCTTCTTCGATTTGGAAATGAGAGTTAGTGGATTGAGGGAATTTTTTATGTCTCAGGATGCTCTCTGGTTGGTGAATTTGACGGCTGCTAATTGAAGCTAAACGATGACGTAATCCAGGAAAGCTGCTCACACAAATGCTGCGACTCTCAATACTTTTACAAGTGTATTGGTAAAAAAATTCAGATAAGGAGGACCTAAAGAGATACAAAAGCGTCCATTCAGCAAAAAACAGAAAAATTTGAATTCTGAGGAGTCCAGAAAGCCACTGCATGAAGAGGACATTTGAGGGGGTCGCCAGAGCTTAAAAAACTAGGGGTGTAATTCCTAATGAAGATAATAGCGGCTCGGAAAAAAATATTCTTGAAGGGTGAAAAGCGGCTCGACAGAACGAATGAAAGAGTCGGGTGGAAAACAAGAATTCAAGTTTTTTATCGAGTTGCAGAAACCATCAATGACAAGTAAGTGTGAAGAAGTACAAATGAGCACTTACGCCGACTGAACGAAAGTAACAAAAGCGTCCTGGTCAGCGGTCTGTCGGAAGAACAGACAAGTCTCGTCCATTAGCGCTTCCATTGATCGCTCGATACATTCGTTCACCTCATTATCTGAAATATCACTACAATAGTTTTCTTCCTACTCAGTATTCATCATGGTTCTGGAATCCTCTGCGAGAGGGGTCGTATTTGAGTTGTTCAGAGGGTCCCGTAGTTGGGCCCTGAATTTTGGGGTGAGGAGCGGGAGGGGATTGAGGGGCGCGCTCTCCTCTCCGCATTCATTGGATAAGTTTGACTAAGATATCGGAGG